CCAAGACAGTGATAAATTGTTCGCTTACTGCTCACAGGTCGCGCCGGAGGCTGGAAAACTCACTTCACGGTTGTAGAGAGCGAGAAGATGGATAAGATCTACGAGGAGAAGTTCAGAGGAACGGGGCTTCAGCATTCATTTAAGGTCTGATGAACCTGAAGAAAAATGTTATAGTCTAACGAAGAAGGCAAACGTAGCGCTAACAATCAGCTAGACAAACATGCATCAAGAATTACTCCAATTTCTTTTTGGCGCGGCATCAGACGATATAAACAGAACACTGCAAGTTATTGCCGAGTATAGTCTCAGACTTAGTAGCCGCAGTAGCTGATTAAATGCTCTAGAAGTAATGCATAGAGTATCCGGTAAAGTAGGCATTAATTGTGCTACATACAGAATTTTGTGGTTTATCGTTTATACTTGACATTTTCGCAAGAAATAAACTGTATGCAAGAATTAAGACAAACGCTTTGTTAGCATTATTTTGGCTTTGCCATAGCTTATAAATAATGAACTTTATTGGCTATACATCTATACATTTTTATGTTTGTTCATTACGAACTTTGAAGCTTAACATCAGGAGTGTATTATATAGAAAACACACTATTGTATATTGTACACTCCTGTTATTATGCAATCGAACGACGGACAGGCTGCAGGCTGCCATGATTCGGCGCAATTCCGGCCACATAAAAACAGGATGATGGGAATTCCAGATTTGACTGTTCAAAGTCAGTTCTTTTTGAAAGTTTAAGTAAGATAAATGATATATAACAAGAACAATCGGAGATAGCAAACCTCCGCCATAGCGTATAGCAGTCCCCCCATCTCGCTGGTACACCCAATATAGAGTTTGATGAAATTTGCAGTTTTGATTTTGCTTTTTGGAAGTGTTGCGTTTATTTTGAGTTTCTGGTAGTATGAGTTTTGCTTGCTGGAAACTTTAGTTTACTTTCTGGCAGACGGATTCAGTTTGACGCACCGTCCGATATACTGACCCCTGCAGCAACATTAAATAAACGGGACCCTGCAGCAACATTAAATAAACGGGATTCACTTTGCACTGACTCACATTACTGTGCAATGCGCGTTACGTTGCATTACTATACATGCAATGGTCGTTACAACATTCACCTTGCACTGACTTGATACTGAGTGTGCAAGACTATTTTCGATAGGTTAGATAGATAGATAGATTCGGATCTGGATCCGGATGACCACCAAAATCTAATCGATTGGTTCTTGGCCCAAAAGCAATCCGCCCCATAAATTTTATCAAAATCCGCCCGTAACCTTTTAAAATATCCTGTTGACAGACAAACCAGCAAACCAACAAACTAACGCACGAAGGGTCGTTGTCGTAACAGGTACTACAGATATGTACCCGAGGTAGTTTTAGGTTGTTTAGTATTATGTTTATATTTTTTATGAGGTATGTTTAGGGTTAGGGTTAGGATTAGAGTTAGGGTTAGGGTTAGGGTTAGGGTTAGGGTTAGTGTTAGGGTTAGGGTACACTTCTGTAGTATAAGTCTGGTACACTTTGTGTATACATATATGTACCTCGGGTACATATCTGTAGTACCTGTTACGACAACGACCGCTTGAAAGGGCGAAAACATAACCTCCCTGGCGGCGGTAAAGATATAAAGAGGCGTGTGTTTAGGTCTATGTCAATACGACACGGGGTATAGGCGGCGATGCGGAACCGACATTACATTAATTTGCAATCTACGGGGCAGTGAGGGTGGGGCCGATGCTTCTTACATAATGTTAAAGAGTTCAGCTCCCAGCAGTACCCGATAACACAGTGCGTAGCTCCGTAGTCCTGTACTCTAGGGTGATCAAACGAGGAAGGTTGGCTATACCAGCTCATTACAGACAGGATTAGAATATAGTCTAGCGTTATGATGGAGGAACAGCAGCCCGCAATACCGACTCATCATGTGTGGTATAAAGATGACTTGGTACTGGAGGACATTATGGTACCCTACATGAACCAGGTGGAGAACATGAAGTGTAGGGACGACGACGTATTTGTGTGCAGCTGGCCGAAAACTGGTAAGTAAGTGTGTCATGGGCGTAAATCCCAGGGGGAAGGGGGGATGCATCCCCCCGCTCTTGAAGGAGGGGGGGATGGCCTGTACAAATATCCCCCCCTGAGATTAAAAAAAAAACTCCTTCCTCCGTGCCCCACTTGAAAGTTCAGCTAATTATGATAA